TGCTGCCATGTTAAGCACTGTGAGGTTTAAAAGGTGAGCTGATGAGCTACGGTTGCAGATTAAGATGTGCTTAAATAGGTCTAGAATAATATCTATGAAAATAGTGGTTATCATATCTATATATATATATATATATATATATATATATATATATATATATATATATATATATATATATACATAAATTGTGTTCTAGTGCCTGTGTGATAGCCCTGCCATTATATATAGTATATCAAACTTCCTGTATATGCCTATATATCACCCTGCCTGTATCTCCAACTAAACTTTAGTATTCTTGATTGAAGTATGGTTTGGTTCACTTGCCAATGTGAGATACACACAGCAGCCAAAAAAAAACACATAACATCTTCATAACACATAACATAGCTTCTTAAAAATGCTTCTTATAATGATTTTTGAGTTATTTTTCATCCCTACATTTTGTATTTAAAAAAATTTGGAATTTATAGAATTTATAGAAATTACCCGTTTAATTTCTATATTAGAATTACGCGTTCTTAACTCACTTCCCTGCTCAGAAAGTATCCCTTTTATTCAGATTGCTCCAAAAAGCTTTGAGATACTCTCAATTGCTCTCTCTATATACTCAGTGGCATGATAAAACATGGTGCCAGATAGTCAGCAAGGGACAAGTTTGAGAGTTCTAAGCAAATCTCATAGATGGAAAAGAGATTTTAGTGTTGTGATCGTGAAAGCCACAGAACACTTCAACTGCATGTCCAAGGTTTTGTTCCACCCACACTTCAGTCACCGATGTCTTTGATGTTGGCTAATAAAGACACTCAGAATTGTGTTCATACAGTATCTCCGTATTTCACAGAGTGCTCCTCATTCACCTTTTCCTCTACTCATTCTCATACCCCTGTGGTGAGAAAATCATGTCCTTGGCGGGGCTGCCACTATGCTTCTCTTGCGTATTCTTTGCTATGAGAGGGAGAGAAGATAATCAGCTCGTCAGACAGCACTTAGGCTTCATTCTCCCCTGTAGGCTCGAGCAGGGATGTCAGTGTAGTGTTGAATGTGCCCTCTCAAGACACTGTGCCGAGCTGATAGCCAGCAAGGCCCCTTGGTCAAATTTGCCAGCCAATTACAGCATCCTGATATCTCATTGACAAGCATGTCTCTGCTTGAAGGATGCAGAACACAATAACACATTTGCTCTTTTTCTGAACTATTGCCGTTATAATGAATGTGTCAAAGGTTTGAATCAAGAGCTTGTCAACCTTGATGTTACTCAACATGGTTGCAACAAACTTTATCTCAACAATAAATCTTCTAATTTTGCATTCTTAAATTAAATTGAGGCCAGCAGTGATGAAAGTGGATAGAGATAAAGCACATATTTATAAACGGAATGAAAAAGTATAATTTATACTAATACACTAGTAATGATCTTCCACTGATCAACACCCATACTCTGTGACGACTTGTTTAAGAACATATTTTCATTATTAAAGAGTGGTGGTGACAGTTCTTACAAAATCAGCTGTGCTAGTCCCCCAGCCTTTTGCAAAATCCATGTCATTAGCTAAAATGACATTATTTGATCTCCAGCCACTAATTCTACATCAAATTACTTTCAGAATGGCCTCTAAAGGCATTTAAGATTTCCATTAATTTTTAATCATTGCACAAAAATTATAAAATACTTTTTTTTATTTACGCACACAAAGATATTGCTTATGCATCAATGTACTGGATATTTGTTCGGCCCTTTATTAATTACAGCATTCAATGCCAACTTCTTTCAGCATATTATATTAACAACCTAAATGGCAAAGCAATGTTTTTCACAATCGTGAAGGTTTCAGTAAAAATGTCAAATGTATTCTCATACAGGCATTTACATAACTTGAATATGAAAAAATAACGGTCATTGTCAAATTGATGGATGTTTGAGCTGGGGTCTGATTTGCAGGGATGAACTAATTAGCCAGAGGAAAATTCCACCAATCAGCATAATTGCCATTATTCAATTAAATTCAAGTTTATTTGTATAGCGCCTTTCACAATACAAATCGTTGCAAAGCAACTTTACAGCAAATTAAGTTTCTACTATATTTAGTAGTAGCTTATCAGTGGTGACTGACAGTTAATTTACATAGGGCAGAAATATACGGAAAAATCAATTAAAGACATAATCAAACAGACGATGAACACTATTAACAGCAATTATTATATGTGGTAGTGTGGTAAATGTGGTAGTTCTGTATGTTGTTTCATGGTTGGCATCATCTGAGGTCCTCTGAGGGGTTGGCATCATCTCTTCTCAGGTGTTCTGGATCCATTATCACCACCAACACTATGATAATGTGCTTATATACAAACTGCACAGACAGGGAAACATAAATTATTGACACCGAGTGCTTACTGGAAGCCCAGGTGTGGAACGTTATGTGTAGTATGTATTATATATACACACACTCAGCTTCCTCAGGCTAATTTCTGGAAAAAGCCATAATTGCTCGCTTTATAATTTATGACCGCTAGAGTAAGTCTGGCAAAGCACCATCACCTATTACTCACCAAGCTTCTAACTCTCGCTGCCGTGCTGTCAAAACACATGTGTACGCGTGCACACACACCCTCTGTGTGGCAGTGTCTTAAATCACAGGGACAATTCTCTCTGTGGAGGGCTGGGTGGTATGTACTTTCCGTGTAAAAATGACATGACATACAGATAAATACCGGCAATGTGTTTGCTGTCTTTGTAGAAGCTCACCAGGACAATTGGTATCCTTCTGTTTATTTCCCCCCATTTACAAGGACAAATTAAATTCATCAATACTTCATGGCAATCTAAAAATATATGGACCTGCCCTAAAACAAACTTTTAGCCTCTTGTGTTTTGTCCTTAATTTTGTAAAGCTCTGAATTAAACTATTGATTTTTTTTATATAAAAGTAATTGAGACATGGAGAATTGACACTAGATGGGCATTTCAAATGATCGTTTACAATAAAATATTTCAAATAAATATTTTACAAATATAATAAAATATATAATAAATTATAAAATATTTAGTTTTATTTAAAAAGTAAAATTATGTTTTATAATTGTACTTTATTAGAATATTGATTTGTTAATATGTTACAAAATGCTTTCCTTTTTCCAATAATTTATTTGTACGCACTAGTTTATTTTTCCTCACATTTGTGTTTGTTATTTTATTTTGCTTTAATCACACACAACATGATTTTTCCCTTTCCCATTTGTTGATTTTGTTTTCCATTTACCGATTGCTGTTTTTCTTCCATCTGTTGATTAAAGCATATCATGATAAATAAAATTTAGTTTCATACCACATTTCAAACTGTGTGTAGCACCTGCTGTTTGTGTCCTCTGCTGGTCTGCATGGGCCCAGGCCAAATTTCATGTTGGCCTGTGCGTGAATCTGTCTTTCTTTGAAAAGATTAAAAATAAATAAATAAATAATTTTTAAGGTGGATACAATCATTGAACAAACAAACAAACAAATAAATAAATAATAAGACAAGCCCCATTTAAAATGTGATGGCTGGCAATGAAGACATTTTTGAGAGAAATCATATATCATAGCAATCAACTAATGCGCCTGCAGATTACATAAATGTTCCTTGGAGATTTAGCCAGCTACTTGAGAAGGTTGTTATGTGTTAATTGGACATTAATCTGTTATCACATCACTTCAGAGACAACTATTTTATTACCCCTGGTATTTGAGCTGTTATACAATGTATTTGACAATTACTTTAACCACATTTTCACTTTTTTCTACATTTGTATGTGATGCTCATGAATGCATTTTATTGTCCACCTGGTGAACATCCTCACAGAAAACTAATACTACACCACTCCTCCATAAGCTCAACGATTCATAAGCATAGTTCACCCCAAAATGAAAATTGTCACATTTTACTCACCTTCCTGTTGTTCAATACCTGCAAGACTTTCTTTCCTCTGCAGAATTGCAAAGATGATATTTTGAAGATTTATTTATTTTTTATTAATTTTTTTCAAACAGTGAAAGTCACCAAGGCATTTTTCAAAATATGGCATCTTATTTTGTATTATGCAGAAGAAATAAATGCATACAGGTTTGGAACAGCATGAGCTTGAGTAAACAACATCATTCAAATTTTTGGGTAAACCTACCCTTAAGGTGTGGTGCCTGTAGCACAAACAATGCGAATGAAGATTTCAGGCAGAGTTTAACACTTAGAATTAGGTTTTCTCTTGCCCAGTATTATGCCAAGCAACATGTATATTTTGAAGAACAACCTGGATGTTCTTTCAGGGTACGTGATACTTTGAATGTCATTCATTCTACCTTCAAGAGGTTGACCTCAGATATCACTGCTGTTTATGACGCACCACAAGAGGATATGAATTCTGCCATTTCAATTGTCCCTTCTCTATGTCCCATCCCCCTTAGTTACTGTTGCTATTTTGGTCAAACTTCCCTACCAGCACTTTCTGCTGCCAGCAAAACAGCAAGTTAATTACAGATTAAGTGAAGACTTACTTCAGGAAGTAAATAACATTGACATTTTGAATAAACAGTGAATTATATCTTGTGATTGGTGGTAAAAGGTCTCCAGTATGCCATGGGAAGGTTATAGCCAATATGTGAAACTGGGTAAAGAAACATGTGAATCAAGGCTAAAAAAAAATTATAATTTTTGAATAAATGCCACAAACTAGAAAAAAGCCTAATTAGATATAACACAAAGCAATGGAATCACATAAAGCCAAATCTCACCACATCGTCCCCAAAAGATCATTAATAAAGTACAGCATAACAGGCAAAACATGTTGACATTAAAATGTATTATACCATGTATTATAGCAGAAGTCATATGGACAATAAAGTTGTGTATCATTATTTTTACTATAACAGCTGGATATTCTTTTTGATTGGAGTGTCTTCTGTCTTGTCCTGAATTTTTGGGTAAGGACATCATAACAGCACCTTAATAAAACAATTATAGGAGTGGCTTAATTAGTGGCATAATTTAAAGACTGCTTGAAAGTTTAACTTTAACATCAGTTGGTCTATGGTTGGAAAGAACTAGCCAATCAGTACACTGGCTTCAGCCTGAAGGATGGTAATGGCTTTGGTTACTGTGCTCCATGTAGTAGCATGCACGAGAAAGTGCAAATTCGGCTGGACTTATATCCTAAAAAAAGGATTTAAGTAGTATATGAACAGAGCTATATATACAACAGAGATTCAGTGTGCAACAAAACATCTAATATACAAGCAGACAAAACTGCTATAAGTTTGAACAAAACAAAGAGAAACATACAGGCCTGTGTGTAATATTTACTTACATATGCACTTTGATTGCTGTACAGTGAGCTCTGATGGTCTCTCCCTTGTCTTTGATTATCCTCAAGAGCCTTTCGACTGACACAAGCTGGAAGAAACAGGAAACTGTAAGGAGTAGACATATTATACAGTGTCAGATATGCAAATCTTCCAAAGGACATTTAACAGATGTTTGAACAATACGTTTTGCTTCACTTTTTGCTTTCAGGACATCAACTGAAGACCCAGACTGATTTAGTAAAAGACTTATTATCGTTATTAAGAATTACTGATACATCAAGATGGTATCTTCAGTCCTGGAACACAAAGTAAATATTGACTCGATTTTACAGTTAAGCTGTCAAAAGTGTGCTTTTTCTTAGTTTCATTATAATAAGTTATCTCATGCAAATTATTTTATAGACTGCCACTGAAGTGGCATAGAGATGTCTATGTAGAGTTGCCAATCTTTTCCCTCTGAAAATCTGTTAGCTGTAATTTTGCAGTATTTACAGAAAGCTTGTCATATTTCTCATTAAGGGCTGGAGCCAGTCTAAATACATGATCTCAAACAGCTATCTCTGAAATACTGCTGATAGCCTACTTTTTATCTGCCATCTTGATGCTGGTGAAATAATCAAATGTGTAGTGACCCGCTGTGCAGGGCACACAGCTTGACTGAGCACGAACATAAGGTCATGGCAGGGCGTGGCAACCCAACATAGTTTATCTTGTCATATAATATATTTTAATGGCATTATTTCTTCTTTTTGGAATATGACAACACGGTTAGTTTAATTTCACTGTATTAAAAAAGTAACTTTGATAATCTGCAAAATCTCTCCTTAAAAACGTTGCAGTCACCGATGTTGTGTTTCTTAGTGAATGTAATCTATGACTCAAAACCCAACAAAATGACTAGTGGCTTAAAAGCATAATTCATGCCACAATTGATTTTCATCTGCATTTTGTGAGATGGCAGATTAGTAAAACCAATTAGATGTTATTTACACTAAGTGAAAACAGCATATTTTCTTAGCAATAGATGATATTTACACTAAGTGCAAATCGAAATGGATTCTATTTACACTAATTTAAAATATAACGATTTTCTGCTATTTATCCTACTTATTGCAAATAGTGGCAATTAGCTGCACCTCAGTATTGTAGTACATTATAAAACAGTATGCAATAATAACGTATTGCGTGTAAATTATATTTTTAATTCAAATTAATGAATTATTAACTATAGTGATCATGGCTGTTAAGCTGTAAGCAATTCAGGTAAAGAATAGAACATTTGGCATGGGTTACAGTTCACAAGACACCTAGTCTAGTTTTAAGTTATGGAGAAAAAAATAACACTCACATATTGCATACTCTTGGTTACACTTATAATAGCATGGGTCCCACTTTATATTAAGTGGCCATAATACCTGTGTACTTGCATAGTAACTATATGTGCACTGTAGTGTATCAGACCGAATCAGACAATTTAATTTTGATAAAGAACAGTTGAAACACGAGGAGCCAAATTCCACAGAGGCCCAAGACACAGGATGTTCGTAAATCAGATCCTGGCGCCACAAGCCTGAACCAACTAGCAGCTTTGAGTAGTTCACAGCATTTAAACAAAAGAACACTTATTGACAATTCCAAGGAGATTGTCAATTTTGGGGGCAAGTAATCAAGATTAATGGTCAGAGATGCACAGCATGACCATGTAAACCAGTGACGATCACAAGCTCTTTGGATTGACTTCCCCCACCTCGACGACAAAGAACAGACTGAGATTCCTTACAGACCTTTTAACCTCTGGTCTGCACAGAACGTGTCCTCAGCCACAGAATGGCACCGACACTGCCTTTCCATGCACCAAAATTAACTTAAAAGGACTTGTGAGCAACTAATCCTTTCTATGCATAAGTCCATATCATGTATTGTAACCCACACATTAGACTATCATGTTTTAATCACGTATTGTGTTTGTCTTTTTGATAACTATTGAATAGCTTAAGGGTTCATATTCATGTTTAGTATGTGTGTGTGTGAAAATTCTTGCTTGAAACGTTTCTTCCAATCAATTCTTTGTCAAATGTATCATATTCTTGTTATAGAAATCATGTCCAAAAGTATCCTCTGCAAGAGTGGGCAAACACCATGTGCCTGATGAGATAACATTTTGATTTATGAATTGGAAGGAGAAATATACAACACCCCCAGCAAAGACAGCGTCTAATTGGTCAAAACACCATTTGGGATGTGGCCAAAAGCCCAGTTTAAATACTCAGGACACCATCAAATCTGCCCTTTTTTCTCTTTTTTGCCTTTTCTAGCCGTACTTTTCAGTCATCACCTTTTGCGCTCTTTGAGCGTGCTCTGGCTTACATGCCAGCTCCTCCAAAACCATGAGGAGAAACGCCACCTGGTCTCGTCAAACTTTACTTCTATTTCTTTACATTAGTTTATTTTCCGTTGAGAGTTTCGTGTTTCGAGTTAAGTTTTGCCTAACGCCGTGTCTCCGAGTCCAACCTCGAGTGCCGTCTAAAACTTCAACTTCAACCACAACTCCGTGCCGTCAGCCAACGCCCAAACACTGGCTTCCTAAGACTGAACTTCCAGCCAATCAGCAACCACGGAAACCCCCTTTTCTGCAAGGATGACAACAAAGGGAACCCCCGTACAGGCAACGCAACGCAACTCAAGTACCTCCAGATTCTAACTGAACTGGTGCATTTAATATAAATTGTAACCTCATTGAGGAACTCAGTGCGAGGGTTAATTAAGTGATTGATGGTTGTTCAGGACTCTGCAATTGCACATATTGCTGTAAATTTGGATTTCATATTTTCATTTCACTTAAACTAATTATTTCCTCACTTTCTGTCTTTCTGCAACTTGTGTGAATGCGTGTGTTTATGTGTTAGATTAGTTTATATGTCTTAGATTTATTCAATAAAGCCTTATTTATATTGAAAAGAGAAGTATCTTGTGTTTTGTGCTTACAAGTTAATATCTTAAACTGCCAATCTTGTTACTGTGCTAATTAATAGTGTTTTCACTATATTTTGGATATAAATATCCATTGCAGAATTGATGTTATACAGCCCGTTCAATGAATCGCTGGCCGTCTCAGTGATCAGCCGTAAAACAGTGATTCTGTCCAAATTCCCTTTAAAATCTTAAAATGATTCCCTTTGAGCTAAATCGACCTGTTTCCCTTACAGTACGTAGTATGTAACCACAGTGTAAGTACACATTGGTACATGGTATCTACAGCTCTAATGTTTGTGTAACTACACATGTAACAACCCACTGAATGGTTTGTGTAAGTACAAATGTGTAACAGGACATTGGTAACAACACTTTTTGATAATGAAAGTACAAATGTGTAACAGGACTAACAGCACTTTTTGGTAAGAAAGTGTTACACTTTATATTAGATTTACCATGTAATTACTCTGGATGTCCTTAATACCTGTGTACTTAGTAACTAGATGTGTACGTAGTATGTAACCACAGTGTAAGTACACATTGGTACATGGTATCTACAGCTCTAATGTTTGTGTAACTACACATGTAACAACCCACTGAATGGTTTGTGTAAGTACAAATGTGTAACAGGACATTGGTAACAACACTTTTTTCACTTCACTAAGTACTCGTGTAACAGGAATTATATAACTACATTTTGTAGCAACAATATGTATAAGAGTAATTTGAACCATTTGATCCAAGGGGTGGAGATGGATAGGTTTAGGGGTGGAAATGGGATCCAGGGGGTGGAGACGGGTAGGTTTAGGGATATATAAAGTGGGAGGAGTTGGATCTCGAGTTGGTGCACCACTGTAATATCAGTGTACTTAATATAAAGTGTAACATTCTGGACACCAACCACAATTTGTATGTAAAGCCGCTGCTGTGTAACAGAGTAATTACATGGTAAATCTAATATAAAGTGTAACACTTTCTTTACCAAAAAGTGCTGTTAGTCCTGTTACACATTTGTACTTTCATTACCAAAAAGTGTTGTTACTAATGTCCTGTTACACATTTGTACTTACACATACCATTCAGTGGGTTGGTACATATGTGTAGTTACACAAACATTAGAGCTGTAGATACTATGTACCAATGTGTTCTTACACTGTGGTTACATACTACGTACACATCTAGTTACTATGTAAGTACACAGGTATTAGGGCCACTTAGTATAAAGTGGGACCATATCATGCATTTCTCATAGCATAATTTCAGAACAAACTGCCTTGGGAGAGAATATATTCTTCACATCTCTTGAAATACACCTGTGGCAGGAAAAACAAGTGCTGTTCTGTGTATATAAAGTTTTGGTGGTTGTCACGGTCCGTGTGGAGAGATGAGGCGAGGACTCAAAGATGCAGTGAATGGGCTCTTTATTAATAACAACAAAACTAACAAAAGCTAAAAAATGCAAAAGTAAACAAAACAGAAACAAAAAGAAGAAATAAAAATAAAGGCAGGAAGGCCAGAACAAGGAGCACACAGACACATACGACGAATAACGAAACAGCACAGGACTGCAAACACAGGGAGACTAAGTAGGGCAGGTAACGAGGGAGACATAGGTGGAATAACTGAAACAATAACGAGGTGACAAGATGGGCGGGGTCAGACAATAGACAGGAGAGAGCACATGACACCAAACAAACACAGCACAAGCCATGTGCTCACAGAAAACACAGTGTCATCTGGTGGCCATCCTGGGCACACCAGCTGAAGACTGTGAAAGAACCACCTCTCTAAGAAGCGGATTCCAGATGCTCCACAGTCTGGGGCACAGAACAAGAGTCCAGGAGGGTGGTGGAGAGGAGGCGGAACAGGTTGAGGGATGGTGGTCCAGGTCCGTGGAGTGGGAGAGGGCCTGGAGACTGTGGCAGAGCAAGTGACCAGGGCGAAGCCGGCAGAGCAGGAGGCCAGGGCGGGGCCGGCAAAGCTGTAAACCACCATGTCAGAGCAGAAGACCACCACAGCAGAGCAGATGGAGAAGATAACCACCACTGTTATTCAGGCGGAACTGAAATAGAGAGCACAGAGTGGTAAACAACAGTCTTTGTGGACTCTGAAGCCTCCCGGACTGGAGAGGT